CCCTTCTTCTAGCTCAGCCTTTGTCTAAGAATCCGACCATGCAGGTGCTGCCCAGTCCAGAGGCAGCCGAGGTGCCTCGCTTACAAGCTGGCATAGGAAACTTTGCAGGAGCAATCGCTGCTTCACTTGCAGAGGCAATCTTGAATTCTGGCAACTATCCTTTCTGCTGGCCCATTGTTGAAGCCGTGCAGCGATGCCTGCTTCGAGAGGATCTGGAATCCCTTGCAGAGGGCACAAAAAGGGCGATAAGGGCGGCATCCCTCAGATTGCCGGTAACATCCGGTTACTAGATCCCGAACTAGATCTCTGTGCAAGCACCGTGGTTGCGACATCATGGCGTCCTGAGGATGCGCGTTAGCTGAGCTTGCAGCACCGTGAGCACGTTTTGCTTCCTTGCCTTGGGAACAGTTCATGCTCGACATGCTGACAACATGCTGGGCTTGAAGAATGCCGCTTTGTACGTGATTCCTCTCCTGCCAGAATGCCAGCCAGCTCAGCGTAGCTCCTTCTGCTTAAGCCACTACACCACAAGAGCTCGTGTTGAGTCATGCTTTTCCAGAGCACCAGCAAGTTGGCAGCATCATTGGCTTGAGACACCATGCCTACTGCCTTGCACATGGAAGCGCCGCGGGTGTCGGCCTGTGCAGATGCCGGAGCGGATGTGACATCGCGCTGCAAAAGTAAACTCCGGCAACAGAGACCAGTCACCCCTAGATGAAAACAGAGCGCAGACTCCATCAGCCGTGGCGGGCCAGCAAAAGTGCAGACGATGCACGCGCATGATGGAGCGAAATTGCCCAATAACCAAGAGCATCTGACCCAACCTCTGCAAGAACATACCTCGTACTTTGATGGACATGGGCCCATAGGCTTGATTAGCCTGAGGTTGACGTCGCAAGCCCGGCAGGTTTAGAAGTTTGGCCAAGTCGTCTTCAGAGCATTTGGGGGCATCAGTCAATCAGAGTCCTGTGTTGCCAGGCAAGTGGACCTGGCGGCGACGTGTACATCCTTGATAAGGTGCTGCAGCTCAAGTCCTCTTGAAACAAGTAGCTTGATTGTGATGATGCTGATGATGATTGGGCTTACTTTGGGTTGCTGGGGTTCTTCAGCTGAAGACCTAAGATCCTCAATATGGCTGAGGCCTGCTCGAGGGCTCGGGCCTCAAAATCACAGTATTGCCCTTACACGTTGCTGCGCCATGCTTGGGTCTAGACCCTAGCGCTGTAAGCAAATGGCTTTACTTCGAGCATCCCCACCCTGGTATTTGGCATGTTTAATGTGTCAACTGGCACAAGTGAGGACAAGCCCGAGAAATGCAGGATTGGGCACAGCAGTCGCACACGGCAGTTGCGCACTGCAGGGATCTTATGCCATGCAACACTCCAACGGGCACTCTAGGGACACCTCAGGGTCGGAGTGGGGTTAGGAATTGAAGAAATGCGTATAGTAATTCGAGGAAGATGGGTGACTGGGCGAAGAGAACCTGTCTTCTGGAAATCTGAAACCCCCAGACAGATGGTGAGGAATAATGTACAGCAAAAAGGAAGCAAGTAATTCGTGTTGCCCATCTTCAAGCCATGACCACACAGACTCAGAGATTACATGCTCTCCTTTCTTCACAGTGGACGTGGTGGTCGCTCCAGTGGGTTTGTAGTCTACAGTGGCTACAGGCATTACCATGCATAACCAGGTCACCTTAGCCGCAGCAGCTGGCAGCACCTCAGACGGTGGCGCTGTTGTCGTGGGGCGCCTTCAGCTCTGTTCTGGGCTGCCGGGGACTGCATTTCATGCCACGAGTCGTGAGGATCAAAAGAGTCCTGTTCCAAGGCTGGAGGCTCTCAAGGATCATTCCTTTCCAGCTTCTATTTTCCGGAGGCGCAGGGTCTTTAAGTTCTCCCTGATGGCGCGCATGCTAGACACCAGTTGCTGACATTGCTGGCATTGGGGCAGCGGGTCATAGCCAAGCCTAGTCTCGGAACCCAGAAAAAAAAGGCAAGTAAGCAAACTGGGGACCATGACTCCACCACGCACCTCGCTGCAGATCCCCGTCATTCTCACAGTTTTTTCCCCAAACAGGTAACGTTTGGGGTCCTCCTCAGAGAAAGAAGAACGCGGCGGCTGGATGGGCTGTACGCGGCGCAGACCTGTGGGCCGGGCCCGCGGTGGGCCCATGGAAGAAAAGACGGCCACGTGGACTGGATGGGTGGCACGCTGCGCGGCCTGTGGGCCCGCTTTGGGCCCGCGGTGCGCCGGCAGAAGAAAAGAAGAAGTCCGCGGCTGGATGGGTGGCACGCGGCTTGGACCTCTGGTCTGCTGCATGGCCCGTGGCGGCTAGATTAGCAGCGGCGGCTGGATGGAAGGCGCGTTGAGCTGGGGGCTGAGGATCGCTGGTTCGGGGGCTGATGGGGAGCTAAACTGCCAGCTGAAAGCCGGGCTCCAAATGCTTCTATCCTTGTCCTTCAACCCTACATCTTAGACCCAAATCCCTGCCGGGATCGAAATCCTTCCAGTCTAACCCCGCAATCCCCAACCTTGACCCCTAAGAACTAACCCCCAAACCTACGAGACTCAAAAACCTTAAGCTGCAGTAGTGTTTGGCAATACTGGTATTCTTGCCCGAGGGAATCAAACTATCGTTCCATAACGTTCAAGCTTGCCGAATCAAAGCCAAGAAAAGGAAAATCATCCAACTGGGTATGCAGATGTTTTCTGTGGTTATCGAATTATTGCTACTTTGTTTTTCTTCGCATTCCAATCGGACAAGAGCTGAACGCCAAGTATAACTTTCATTCGCATGTTTTCCATCCATGCTGTTTGGGGTTTTTGCCGGCACTAATTGCTATCCTTCTGTTTGGCTTCTTGCAGGCTATAGCCTTTGATGATTCGGCAGGCCAAGCCTTGGCAGAAGCATTGAGTCTGGAGTACGCGTTGTGAATGCTCAGACGAAAAGCCAGGCCAGATCTACGTGGCGGACACGCACAACCACAGGGCCACTGTCCGCAAGTTTTGTGGAGCTCCGTGTCCTAGAAAAGTGTGGCTCAAAGCAATCTGGGGTCGTTTCTGCATCTGCGACGGGCTCATCGGCTTACCGATGTGCTGCTTGTGAAGCCAGACCTGAGTGCCCCAGCCCCCCGGCGCACAAAAGCAGGTCTGCAGGTTGAAATTGGTTTGCCGCCACTTCCATGTGCAAGTCACACTGCGAGGTCATGAAGCACAGCCTAACACGCATAAGCTGCTCAATTGCCAGGTGGTGCGCTGGACGCCCGGTGGTGCTACGGGGGTCGCCGTGGCGGGAATCTTAGAGAACAAGGGCCAGGTTTGAGCACAAAGGGCAATGCAGGAGGATGTATTTATGCCGTCGAGATTTGCTTCAATTGGGCGCATCCAAGCATATCTAAGTTCATGCGTGGCTTTGGCAAGGCTCGAGGAAACACAAGAAGCTTAACTCCAGATCTACAAGAGTTCAAACACAGTCCCGTGGAATTTCTGGTCAACATGAGAACATGCGAGAACCTCAGTCCTCAATGAAACTGAAGCGGGAGGGAAAATCACTTTGAAGATCCAGGTGTCAGCCAGGAAATCGCATGACATCATGGAACCCACCCGACGCACTGCATGCCATGAACGTGCGCGCGTGCTTGCCCAATGCGCCCAATGACACAGAACTGACACATTTCCCACGCAAGCGTCCCTGCAGTGCATGGACAGAACAGATCAGCGTCGCTTCTTCCACACTTGCTGGGCGTGAGACAGCCAGCAAGACGCAAAACCTTTACTGCCATGCTTGACAAGGTGGACGGTGGTCCCGGCACAGCTGCAGGTGACCTTGGCGTTACGCATGATTTCCAATGGTGTGATATGTCGCTCACGTAGAAGAGCAGCTCTCCAGCTAGATCTGGTTTTGGTGTTTTTCAATCTTTTCCTGCTCCTTGATGCGCTCTCAATGTTAAATCCTGCGAACTTGGAGACTTCAGCTTTCTGTCGCTTGTGCCAGTTGCCATGGTGTAGACTGAATGAGAGCCAACGACGGAATGTCCGTCATGGTCCCTCACGTATGGCACACCATGCAAGCAAGTAAACCACCGCATCGGAGTCAGCAAATTGTCTTTGACCAGTAAAGCGGAGGATCCTGAGGGGCATCTCAGATAGCCATCTTTGAGCCCCCCCGAATACATTCTGTCTGGTTCCGTGGCCTTTTGGAGGTCAGGGAGATGCAAGGGGCAGCCAGGAATGCATGTTGATCTGCACCTCTAAGCACCAGAATGCAAAAGGGTACTGCTAGTTGTCTTCTTGTACCCTGCTTCACATAATGCTTGTTCTTGCCACTGCTATCGGGAGCACTTGCAAGCCCCGGGTTTTGCTTTCCTTCAGTCATTCACAGGAACACAAGGGTACTTAGGGAGGGCTGCCGTGCTCATTGCGTCCCGATGTGGTGTCCGTTTGATGCAGCTTACAACTGCAGTTTGGGGTTCAGAAGTTGTGACCACTACCACAACCATCACAACTACGACCACGACCTCCACGGCTGCAGCCGAAGCTACATACTAGTAGTACTGAATGGTATTGATATCACTATTCCTACTGCGGCTCTTGCAACTGCCATGGTCCGGCCTTCGTGCATCAATGTTCTCACTGCTTTTGCCGCCTGTCACATGCTGCTGTCGCCGCAGTTACTACCACAACGACCATTTCACGGCATGGATCCCTTCATGCCAGTGTTTTGGTTGCTTGTTGTATGCATTGTGCAGGAAAGCTCAATTTCCCCGCCGGAGTGGCGCTCGCAACCGGTGGTTGGCCCAGCGATCGGGAAGAGCATGATCAACGGCAACAGTCAGAGCAGTGGTAGCCACGGTGTGTTCAAACAACAGTCAAGAGAAGTGGTACACATAGTAGGAGGAGGTGGAGCAGCAGGTGTTGTGGCTGTGGTTGTTATTGCTCTCGTTCTTGTCGTTTTTAACGTCGCCCTTGGTGGTTTTCTTGTGTCTGTTCTTCCTGCTGATGTTGTTGTCGATGATGTTGTTTCTGCTCCAGCCACTACGTTTCAGACTGGCAGGAGCAGGGAGGATCATCGAATGGGCTTTGGGCGCAGTTTCTAGAGGTCTCTAACGGGCCTCTCTCCAAAACTTACGTTGAGTTCGTCCAAACTTCAAGCGATATCCTCGCAGCTGCTGTGCCGATCTGAACTGCTAAGTCCCCATTCCTGGGCTCAATTGCGTCTAAGACAGGAAGCCCTGGGCAAGTGGTAGGGTCTCCACTTCCCGCGCAGTGGAAGGAACTGTGAAGTAGCTGCCAGTGCAGCCAACCAACTATTCTCACATACTTAAGAAGTCATTTCGGAAAGCATGTCGCCAAGCGCGCAGAGCGGACGAACCAAGCACTTGGGGCGGACGAGCCAGTTTCCTACTGTGGAGGTCAAATAATTGCACTCCTTCTGAGGCCTCAGACTCATCTAGCCAGGCCACTTCCTCTCGCGAACGTGGTGGCAGCCTGGTCAAACCACTGAGGTGCATGTCGTGGAATCCAGACCACCAGCAATGAAGGGAAATCAAGGAGTGGCTGGCCGCTGAGGCCTTACAGCCCTGCGGCTCACTGAGTTTCAGGTCCAGGGCTGGACTTGCATATCGCCCGCAAGCCCAGAAACCCCTTAACCTGCAGTGCCTAAACCTGAAAAGCCTACGAAAGCGTAAGACCTGTTCAGCAGCGATACAAGTTGCGCAGATAGTACAGCCGAATTTAGGTAGTGCTGAAGTGTCACCAACAGCCCCCTCCACCACTTGGGCGGACGGAGCTATGGATGACTAGGTGGGGGGAACGCCAAACTTGGCGTCTTCAAGAGCTTCGTTTCTAACGGGTCGCAGCTCGTAGGGCTTGCCACGTACCAGCACATGTGGTCCTCAGCGAAGTCATTTCAGCAAGCAAGCGACCATCCAAGGAAATTCGGCAAATTTCTTGATAGGATGCTCTCATCATACAGCAGGAGACTTTAATGCTGGTTTGATGCCCCGCCGGAGGCAGCTGGAAGTCAGGGGCCTCATGAGGTCTTGGAGCACATGGGAGCATGGGTGACTGACCGCTTGCCTGTCGCCACCCCCGATGACTGGAATGTGTCAGTTCTTCAAGCGTCGGAGCTTTGCTCTCCGAGTCTCTCAGCTGCGAGATCGTTGACTGAGACGTCCTAGGCGGCCAGGTGCATGTGGAGGGCAGGGAAGCAGACCCATAAAAATGCTGAGCGAGCTCACGCGGCTGAACTAGAGGCAGCAGGCGCAGCATGAGAAGGCAGGCTCGGCACCTCAGTGCTTGCGGCTGCCGGGAAGCTGTGCGCTGCGGTTGTATCTGACTCTATCTCCCAATTACTGGCATCACACCTCGCTGCCGCGCTTCTCCCGCAGGGGCTTCTCGCTACTGGTTGCAGGCTTGTGTCTAATGCGTAAACCCTAGAATTTGCCGCCGCTGTGCATTTTGCGACCGGACGCAAAGGGCGCTGCAGGTGATGCTCATGACTCATGGTGCCCATGGTTCTGGCCGACCCTTCAACAAAACGCCGGCTGATGCTCATGATGTTGGCCGTTGTGGGTCGACCGTCGGCCGTGCCAACAAACGACCGGCTGATGATCATGATGCTGGCCGTCGTGTGTCGACCCTGTCAACAAAAGGCCGGCCGATGCTCATGATGCTGGCCGTTGTGGGTCGACCGTCGGCCGTGCCAACAAACGACCGGCTGATGCTGATGATGCTGGCCAATGTGGCGACCCTTTCAACAAAAAGTCGGCTGATGCTCGTGATGCTGGCCGTTCTGGGTCGACCCCGTCAACATAAGGCTGGCTGATGCTCATGATGAGATGCTGCTGCGCGTGCATGATTTCACGAAGGACGTCCCGCAGTTTGCATATTTCCTGGGGCGCGGGCTCTCAGACGCGCGAAGCTGGGTTTCAGCATATGCAAAAGGTCAGGCTTCTGGCACTCCGTCAACACGCGCTGCTCCCGGAGCTGGTAGGTGGCATGTTTTTGCTGAGGGCGAAATTCCAGACATTTTGCATCTCTTGCGTACGGATGCTTCCCTGGTCTCGCTCATTCATAGCCTACGTCACAAGTCTCACTACCGGCTGCCTGCTCAGGACGAGCATCGCGAGGTACAGACCGCAGCCGGGGTCAAACAGACTTATAAGCGGGCGCGATTTTACTTTACATTCTCACAGACAAGCCGCGCAAGGAACAGTACAGTGGCCGCTTTTGGTGATGCGAAGGTTCTTGACTTCTTTGCGGGCCATGCTGATGATCTCACCATCCACCCAAACATCAAGTCCCTGCAGGAGCTGGCGGAATGCCAAAGGCTCACACGGGCACTCCTAGCCAGATTGCATGAGCGAAAACTCCTCTGGAGTAGTTCCAAATGTTCTATCTTTGCAAATTTGCGGGCAAATCCTGGACCAAGAACGAGCCCGGCAACAAGGTGAAGTTGTGGTGCGTAGGCAGGACCTATCTATCCCCAGCATTCTTGTGGGCCCCTTTCTAGTAAGTACTTAAGCATCATTGCCAATCGCTGCTTCTTATTCTAGCTTCGAAACTCAGACTTTCGGGCATGGCGTTTATGAGGCTAAGAAAAAGTTACGGATGGTTCGCAAGTATATCTATAATCGGAAGATTGCCAGTGCCATATCAAGGCTGAAGGTCTGGGTGACTGTCGCTTGGTTCACGCTTTCCTTGGGGCTGGCGGAAGCAGGGGTCTCTCAGCAAGGTTGCTACGCTCCTCAGCGCGCGTAACACGCGTGCCTACCAAGGGCTTTTCACTCTTTACGCGATAGACGACCCAGTGGCCCAGCTGCGCAGACAGCTGATCAACAGATTGGAGAAACTGCGAGCTAAGGGCAACTCCGCCCCAGACAGTACATGCGATGCGGGCGCTACCGCGCGGCACCTGCGTGTCGTGGGACTTTTCTGAGCGTGCCAAGACCAGAAGAAGGCCTGGAGATTGCAGCGCCGGAAGCCATCTGCCTGCCCTCGCTGCCCCTTTTACTTTTGCCTCCTTGCGCCGGCACTATAGACCGCTGCGCCCTCGGCCTTGAAAAGGGGGGAGCATGCGCTCGAGCGACCTCGAGCGCCTGCCCTTGCCCTGACGTCTTGCGCAAGCTGGAGGGAGGCGTTTCCGTCGGACCGCCGAATCTACTTTGGCACATGATCCTGTCCCATTTCCCATGAATTTGCTGCCAGTGTCCTGCAGGAGCAATGCATTCACTCCTTGTGGCTTTTGATCCCCAGACTTGCAAAAATCAAGTCCCATGTACGTCAAACCGGAGCAGACCTCCAAAAGTTGCGGGTGCTTCGCGGAGTACAGCTCAACTGCCGTAGTTTGCAGGTGCCGTAGGGCTAACCTCATGGAGGTCTTGGTGCTTGCGACTAGTCTTTGTGACTAGCGATGGAACAGTGCGAGGGGGTCGAACCAGTTCAGCAGAGTTTTAGGTAGCATGCCACTGGAATCAATTTTTCAATTATTTTCTTTTTCCCTTGGAACATCCAATCACGCAGCGTCAATGTTTGGCCTCTCTAGTGTGAGTGCCTGGTAAGGGCATGCCCGCCAAGCTCAGGGCACGCTCCAGCCGCGTCAATTGAAATTGCTTCTGCTGTTGGGGCTCCGTTGTTGCTGATGTGGTGGCCGTGGTCATTCTCGTTTTTTAGCCTCGCCTTGACTTGCTCGGTGTGCGTGCTGTGGAAAGAACGCCGACCGCAGTTGAAGTGGTGTGGCAGTGTTGTCGTGGTTGTAAAATTCGCAGCAGTAGAAAACATCAGAGTGCAGTTGCAACATTGATATTGGGAGAGGTCGCAGTTCGCTCACATGTTGCTGATGTTTGATGGCTCAATCATGTTCAATCCAGCTGGGGAACATGGGATAAGTGCTATGACTACCCAAATTTACCACGTTGGCGAACAAGTTTTGATAATCACTTCGTCATAGAAACATCTTCGCGTGGCCCTGTCCATTCATGAGCTTCGTTTGTTCCTCCTTAGCATCATGTAGGGCAGGGAGGAACCCAGTTTGGCTTGAGTCCGCGGCGTTGCGAATGGCATGGAGCAGGCTTGGCTATACTGAAATTTCGGGACATCATGATTTCAGCAGGTTGGGAATATTGTGCAGGATACATGCGCGTCTTTCACACAGTGTTTCATGCCGCTCTGGGTTTGGCATGGTCAGTCTTGTGATCCTAGTGGTGGCAAGAGGCCACGGCTAAGAGGTCTTCCACAGCCTCGACGATGGCCAAGTTTCCTGGCGGCGAAGTGCTGCGCCGAGGCTTTGCGGTCCAGCAAAACATGCCGTACAGTGTTCCTGCGTGGTTGTTTGGGTCTAAAATCGGTGTTGCTGAACCCAATGGAGGAAGGGCCTATGCAGCCAATGAATTAGTTGCTTGGTTCGATTGTGCCATCGTATTATCTTTGGCTTCTCTGATGCCAAGCCATGGCTGGCATGCAGTGCTTCAGGGTAAGCAGTAGCTGCCAGCTCGCAGTTTTTCCTCCAGATTTGTTTTTACAAGCACATGTCCTCGGCCAAGTCTCGGAGTACCAGCAGACATGTGCAAATCTAGCATGCAGGTGCTCTAGGTTCAATGAAGTCGGGTGGCTCAAGCAGGAACAGCCAACGAGAGAAAACAAAACAACACCCCTCAAGCCCGTGTGCGATTGTCTGGCTGGCATCGAAAGAGGTGTCGCTCACTTGATAGGGCTGCTGTTGCACACTGGCCGACAGCCATGCTGAGAAGAATGGGTGGCGCCGCGACAGTGCTGCTGCTCAGCGTGGCTCAATACTCTGCTTGGAAAAATGTTTCAGGAAATGGTGTGTCTGAGCTGTTGCCTTGAAAGCATTTCATGAGCTTCTGCCGCAGTTCTGCAGTCGAGGTGGCAGCACAGAGCCGGGCAAAACAGATTCTTGTTACTGGCGGCGTGATGCGAAGCAGCTTGTCGCAGAAGCGGCCAAAAGAAGCTGAGACAGGAAACTCTTCCCAGCAGCCCCAGCCATCAAAATTCATCCCCAACCCCACGTATCTCTTCGAAAGCACAGCACAGAACAGATGGCTCCTTTTCTGCCATCTTCTCTCCGTGTTGTCTTTTTCAAAAAGAAAGTCTTCATTTCTCTTGAGGTCACCACCTGGCAGTGGTCCCTGTGGTGGAGGGTTTGCTGGAGCGGGGCCACAATGTGACGATGATCATTCCGAATACCACTGAGGCACACGGGTGGTTCCCAGCTGGTATTGGAGCTGCCCAGTTGGTCTTCGTTGGCGACGAGGATGCTTCGTTCAGCAGCATCAAGATTCCAGACATGAAAAACCTGCAATGGCACGAGCGCATCCTTGCTTGGGGCCGAATTGTTTGGAACTACCGGTCAATGGTAGACAAGCCTTTCTTCTCTGTTCTCGATGACTTTGTGACCCTCATTCAGCATAACAGGTTTGATGCTGCATTCTCCTCCGCCATCTCAATCGGTTGTAATGCTGCCCTCAAACGATCTGACATTCCATGGGTGGCTTTCATGAGCGTCCCTCCTTTCCCAGAGCTGGTGCTCAGCGATTCCGAGGAGGTCTGCAAGTACCCTAACATGCTGAATCCAAGGTCCGTGCCAGATCTACGAACCTCCCTTGTGCTTCGGGTGCGGAATCGTATAGAATGCATGATGTTGCAGGCATACATCAAATTCGGGTTTTCTGTCATGAACTCGGTGCTGAGAGACAGAGGCTATGAGCCTGCGGAGGACTACACCAAGATCCTCCTAGGCGCTCCAACAAACATCATGCTCGGCGGTCCTCCCCTCACTCTGCCAATCAAGTTGCCTAGCGGCAGCCATGTTGTTGGAACGGTGGAGAGGCAGAAGCCCCGAAGCCTACCGACAGAGCTTGGGCATTGGTTGGACGATGCGGGAACATTCCCAGTGATTTACGTCTCGATGGGGACCAAGTATGAGTTTACGAACTCCAGTGGCTCAAAGCTCATGAAAGAGCTGAGCAGTCTAATGGAGGAGGGCTTTCGCATCCTGTGGTCCTTGCGTGCCTCGCAGCAGCAAGCCTTGCAGCACCTGCTTCCCCCTGCAAGCCATCGCCTGCAGATTGAGGAGTTCACCCCGCAGCCAGAGGTTCTAGCACACCCCGCAGTGAAAGCTTTCTTCTCACACTGTGGCTGGGGTGGTGTGACAGACACGCTGGCAGCAGGCAGGAGTGTGTCAAAACATGTAAACCCAGATTGGTGCATTCCGATGTTGCGCTGCCATTCAGGTGTGCCAGTCTTAGCATACCCCTCGTTTTCTGACCAGAGAGGGAACGCGCAGAGGCTTGTTGAGATCGGGGCTGCAGTGACGCTTGGCTGATGGACTTCTGAAGTTACATGACTAACTGAGACCTGGCACATGCAAGTGCACTAGGAGTCTTGCTGTCGGTTGGTGAATGCTGTGGGCATGCGCTTGCTCTGGGTGGAAGAGTAATCACTTCGCCTGGACTACTTGATCCTCATTTTATTGAACGGTTCATGGGGACCAATATTCGTGGCCATAGAAGCCATCACGTGTGACAAAGACAACTCCTAACTCAAAATAGGTTTTCTTGAAGTACAAAGTCTGTTATACAAAGCCTGATGTATGAAAGCAACTGTTTGCCATGACGTCCAGAAGACCGTACTCCAGAACCCATATGAGAGCCTTGTGAAAGCAAATGGAGCAACACAGCAATTCTGATTAACTTTCCTGGCGACGGCTTATCGTTTCTAATTTTTGTTGTAAGTGATGCGATAGGAAACTAAGGAAGTCCCCTAAATCTGATTCAAGTTCCTTTCTAGATTCTTTAATTTCAATTTCCTTTGTTCGGGTCTCACCAGCGGGATTATTTTCTCGGAAGAATCTCTAATCCCTGGCAATCCATTATGCTCTCGTCTCTGAAGCTTAATTCATTACGAAATACCCTAAATGGGCCCTGGGGCACGAGAATTTGAAGCGTCTGGCAACTCTAAGGCTGGTTCACCCCGACTTCTCAAATCTGAAGGAGGCCGGATGCCATAAGCAGCATATCAGACAGTGTCGGTTGTGTTCAGTGGTTCCGTGGGAGGCAGTCAGCGCGATCATCCAGAGTGCCGCTTTTGCAGATGCCGCGCGGGCAGCTTCAGCTGCATCCTGACTGAAAAGTGGGTCGAAGCAGAAGCTACGTTTGAGGTATGCGGTGGCATTATGTAAGCAAAGAGGCCACTGCAAAACCAAGGACTTGCAGAGCTTTGGAGGCCTTGGACGCACTTTGGACCTGATCGAAGCAGCAGCAGAGGGGCGCTTCCCAGAACTCTTGCCGCACGTCCAGGAGAAGATGAGCCAAGTGGATCCGCTTTTTTTACGAGATCACGGGGTCGAGAAAACCTTGAGCGTGATTTTCTTAATTCTGATGATATGCGTTTTGCTAATCTGCTGCCGCTTGACTTTCCTGTGCTGCTGTTGCAGATGCTGCCAGAGAGGCCCCAAGCAGAGAGCTACAGAAAAGAAGAAGGACCAGTAAAGCAACCGTGGAGAATCAGCGACTTCTGCCTAGGTAGGCGGGACTCCGAATCTTGCTCCGCTTAGCAAGTGGCCTAGCCGTGCTGAAGTTCGACCTCCCAAAGAGAAGACCTTGCATAGGGCCCTCAGCGTAATTGAAGGCAGCAATCCGATGGACATGTTGGACAATGAATGTCTCGCAGATTACGTTGCGCAGCCTGGTGCAGCACGGGCAGCGGTATCGGGTTCCGGTTCCTGCGGTTCGAGAATCGTCCGGAGCGGAAAAAGAAAGCGCGCCCGATCTCACGCCCAAGCAAGGCACCATCTTTGAACTTTGAACCTGTGCAGGTTCGCGCGTCGTTGTCTGGCAGCTTTGCGAAGGGTCCTGCTCCGTCGCTGGGCAGCAAGTGATCCCAGCATAGACGCAAGATTTGCATCATGCCAGAGCCAGCCTGAATCAAGCATGAGCTAAGGACACAACTACTCCGAGGCCTGGGATTTGCGAAGCTTGAGGGCTAGGAGACGGGCAAGCACACGTTCTGCTGAGAGTCAGGTTGGTTTTCCATGTTGCAGACAATTTCGATTCCTTCGAATGTAATGTTGGCAAAATCTGATTCAGCGGTGCTTTGCCAAGAGCTGCAAGGAATACAAGAAAGCAGAAGCCTTCATGTAAGCTCCTTCGGTCTTGGGGGGCTACCCGCTTCCCCGAAGCAGCATCTTGATGTTGGACCTGACCAAACAGCGATGGTAATATACTATGCTATGGTACACCTCTACAAACAAACGGAATGTGTAAGCAACGCAGCCAGTAGCTTGGAATAGCGTAGTTGATGCCACTTGGCCTGGCGACTTTGCTTCCTATCCAAGCAGTGCACGCACGCGGCCTGTGAACAAGTAATGCGTGGCCATCTTCAGTCCACCCTCAAGGGTTCCTCGCCAGGCAGCTGCCAAAGCTCTGATCGGAATGGGCCCAGCAGCACAGGCTGCTGCTTCTTGGGCTCCCCTCTTGGGCTTCTGCCGCGCAGAGAAGTAGCATGTAGTCATGGATGTGCAGTCTGTCTTAGTCCTTGTCAGAATGGATGGAGACCTGCAGCCTAGCCGCCTTCAAGGAAAGAATGTGAATTGCTGATTTCCTGGTGTCGCCTGTCAGGGTTCCTGGCCCCGAATGAGAACAGCAACAGCCGAGCTCGAGGCCTGCATGTGAACACATCAGTCAGGATTCAGGAGTCAGCTCCGTTGGACAAACAATTACAGCGAGATTCCCAACTCATGGCTGCTCACCTCCAAAATCCCTGCTTTGGTCTTTGCCAGCCAGCACGCACCAGGCCACTCACCGTGGACTGGATGCGCGAACGACCATGCTTTTGGCCACCTTCCTGCACCCGGCTTGGCTTTGCACTCGTTAGTCCGATTGCATGTCATCAAGCCTAAGCGAGCACAAGAAATCTAGATAATAGATGTCACAGTAACAGAAGCCGAGCCGTTCAAGATTATCCCAGACTGTGCTGCTAGAACAGTCTTAGAGCAATCTGAGCACTGTTTCCAGCCTCACCTGAAAAGGCTGAATGCAACAGTCGCAGTGCCCCGGCTTGATGAAGTGCTCGGTGCAGAACTGGTGACCGCAACCTGGCCGCGTATTCGCTTGTCACGTGAGGCTTGTGGGTATGAGCGCGAGTCACCTGAGTATTCACCAGGACTTGCAGACCTTAGGGATCCTTGCGAGGCTGGAGCAGACAATGGTCTTCTAAGCCAGAAACCGTAAGTATGCGACAGCTCATGACAGCTCTAAAGTGCGCCATGCAGACCGACACCATGGGAAAACTGGAAGTCCATGGTCCAGCTTGCGCCGGTGGATTTGACCACAGGCAAAGCAAGCGGTTGCCTCCTGTGCTAAAGTAAGCGGATTTGTTGCCAGCAATGCCGATGTGAAGGATTCTGCTTAGCACAGATTGGCATGCTTAGAAGGCAGCAGCCCTGCAAAAGTATTCTAGTCGTCTATCATCGAAGTGCAGGAAAATGATTGCTTCGGGCATGCCAGGCTCCATGTTCTTCTTCGTGGACTGGGATGAACTGCGACCGTGGCACCAGGCCGGTTCATGGTACTTATGCACCCCACTGCTTGTCCTATGCTATTGCAAGAAATCACTCCTCCTTGCGGGCCCCGGGGAAGCTTACATGAGGTGATGACGTTGACCATCGATAGCTACGCGTTGCTGCGGGCACAGGCAGCTTTGCACCTTTGCAAAGCCTGACCATGTCGCCACATGTCGGACACGAGCAATTCTCATTCTTGGCTGTACACCTTCGCACTAGACGTTTGCCGCGCTCTTTGGAGCTCTCATTCATGCTCATGTGCAAACTCACTCCACGTGCATTGTCACTCGCAGTCACAACGATGTGGGATTATCAGACCCATGATATCCCTGAGATAATTGATCCTCAGAGAACCCCAGAGAGTTTAGAGCCAACTTCAACTTCTCCACAGTCTTTGCCTCTCACAAGGCCCTGCTTCCAGAGCGGGCTGCTCCAACACGGGTACTAGCAGCTTGGCCAGAACTTTCCTTTCGCTTCCACAACCTCCGGTTGCCATGCTTGGGCGACACCTTCCCGCACTGCTTTCTGAGGATTTGTGTGCTGGCAGTGGTGTTGGATCCCTGGCTTCAGGAACAGCTCCTTTCATCCTTTACGCAATTTCCTGCTAACCTACTCTGGGTGATGTCAATCGGGTAACCACATGGACTCTTCAGTCCCTCAGCCCTTGAGGTCCAAGGACTGTTTGCTGCCAAGCGCTTTGCTGCGTCCGTCTCCCTCGTGGCCCGGGGCCCTAGCCAGGAAGCTTGAACATTCGACGACGTTCAAGACTGGCGCTGAGGATCTCAACCCTCGCGCAGTGCGCTTCGCGTGGCTTAACACAACTGAAAGAACAGAAAGTGGAACAGCCCTTGCTTTCCAATACACGTCCAATGTTTGCACGAAGCCGGACTGACAAGGAAAGCAAATATCCTGCTGAACCGAGTGTCCAAAGTGACACTTCACCATGGCAACCTGTTCGAGGCTCCACCCCCCAGCTGGTAGATGCGGTTCTTACGCATGGAAACAGCTATAAGCGTGCCGGCCAGGCTTTACCAAAGCGGTGCCGCGATGAAATTGCCAGCAGGCAAGGTTTACGTCCTACTTTCGTTGGCAGAACCGAGACAACGTATGCTACACTGAGAAAGACGTCTGCCACACTGTCACTATATTGCTGCACATTGTGCTCCATAGTTTTCATTTGTAAGGGCTTGTTTCTGTTGTTTCGAGGAAAGCAGGCAAGCAAGCAGATCGATCAAGGTTGGATAGGCGCTGGAAAGAGGTCAGCCTAGTGGTTATCATCAGCTAGCTGCACTGAGCCCGCAGGGTAAGGGAGGCAGAGCGAGAAAGAGAGAAGAAGAAGGTTTCACTCACATCATGCCAAACATCCACTAAATATTTTCCTCTGTAACTGGGTAGGTATGCGATAAATCAAACTTTGGCATGAAGCTTAGAGACGTCGCATGGGCTGGAAATCTGGCAATCAAGATTCGGGTACCTTAATTCAACCCAGCCATGTGACCTGAGGGGTGGAGTAGGAACCTAACAGCCCAACATGGGCTGGCCAGAGACGTCCGAGGGAGGTCCTAGGACCTTCCCCATAGCCCGAACGAAAGAAAGAAAGAAAAGAAGAAGAAGAAGCAAGAGCTTTTGAACAAACATGAAGGCGCAAGAGGGGTGGAAGTTCCATTTGAGAGGCCAGTCAACCATTTGCCGTGCAAGATGTGGGGACAGACTGTAGCTAAAGGGGGTGGGGAGGAGACAGAAGAGGAGCTCGGAAGGGAGTCTGTCAACCCTTCCTTGCCCACATTTCTTCATTTCAATTCTGGGCGTAACCCCGACGCGGCCCTCTGGGGACCCCCGCGCGGCATGTAGAAGAGGAGGAAGAAGAGAGCTCTGGCTTTGTTGACATTTAAAGGCAAGTGAGCGAGACCTTTCACAATCTGCTAGAATACGGAGGAAGGAGGTTCGGCTTCCCCATGGAGCTAATTTCACGACTCGTGAGTCACCACATGGCGGAACGCAATGGCAACCAACTCGAATCGCGCATGAATGGCCCGAAAGACGAAAAGGAACGCGAAGAAGGAGAAGAAGAAGGCGACGAAGAAGAAGAAGAAGAGGAAGAAGAAAGAGCTGCATAGTTCGGTCGTCTAGCCAATGATCTTGGAGCGGAATGGTAGGGAGGTGTTCCGGCCTGCAGCAAAGGCTGACCGAACGGTTCGGGCTACGCGGGCTTGCCTTGTGAGAGTTAAGTGTAGCTTGTAGCTTCGGGAGAAAAAGAACGGCGGAGTTAGGCAATTGTGGGAATCAATATTTTGTGTGCGTGTCTGTGCGTGTGCTTGTATGGCGCTCGCTCGACCCCAACGAGTTTCCTTCTTCATTAAGACAGACTGGAAGCTGTGCAAGACAGAGCTGGGGTCTTTGTTTTGGGGAGTCACTGACTCCTCAACCCCTTCAGCAAAGCAAATCAAAACAAAGAGAGCCGCAGAAGTCGGACGTGAGGGCTCGGGGCCCTGCCTATGCCCTGTGAGGGTCGCAAGGCCCTCTAGAGCCTGAAGAAGAAGAGCAAGAAGAAGAAGAAGAATCTGGAGGAATCCTTCAGAATGGGATTGCGGCTGGGGTCCATATGCCTGCTGCTCAGAATTTGACCCCGATGAATTGAGACGCGGCCAGCAGAGCCTGCATGAGGACTTGATTTTGGCAAATCCGCCCTATGTGCCGTCCAAAGGTTCGCGCATGAAATGTGGTGTCTTGTAGCCAGACTAGGATTCCTTGAATCGCCTGCAGACTCTGCTTCCATCCTGTCTGTGCCCTGCATGCTGCCTCTGTAGAGGTGGCGGGCAGATGTTCGTCTCGGGGGGGGAGCGGGGAGAAGCTGTCGGATGCTAAGATGCCATGCCCAGCATCACGCATCTTTCTGATACATGGACTCTAATGAAGCTCCGTTGAGTAAGTCGGAGACGCCACTGCATGGGGTTTAGCCAGCAAGAGCATGCGCCGAGCGCTGCGACTACGACCGAATCAGCCCTTACATGGCTGCTTTCTGAGGTGACCGCGCAAATTCTGCGCTCGGCCCTGCAGGTGGGATCAAGGAATTGCGCACTTTCAGTTTGGCCATGTGGACAACAGATATGTCGTAGGAAGAAATGGCTTTTATACTTGCATATCTACTGCTGGCTTCTGGAGAAAGATGGTCTTCAAACAATTCCGTAAGGCAAGATTTCTGATGCTCCGCTGACAAATACAAGTTCGCGCAGTTGCAAGGCGCTGGCATTGGAGGGCCGAGTCCTTCTGATAGCAAATCTGGCGAATGTGGACGGTTCGACGCTTAGATGGAGGGACATTACCTTTTGCGACTTTTGTACGCACATCGGATGTCACGGAAGTTCCCCTTTTTTTTGCACATTCATCCCCCTTGTGACAGAGGTGGTTACGTCGACAAGCTGCGAAGCTGGTGGAACGATGTGCAGGTGGAACTCTCGTTGAAGCCTTTAGCACAAAGCGTGAAACGTTTTCCTTCAGGTTTTTACTGTCTGAAAGCCTTTTGCCCGCAGCCGCTGCCAAGAAGTATGGTGACCCTTTCATCGAGGCACACCAAAGATAGCCCCCTAACATGGCTCCCGTGCCTCCTGTTGCCGTTCTCCGTGGCCACTTGTCATGCACAGCAAACTTTGATCACTTAAGCTTGAAGCCTTGCCTCTGAAGGTAAAGCACTGTTGACTTGTTGTTGTACCCTTGACAGTTACAAGTGGGAACTTTTGCAGCACCGCCGTCATGTTTTCTTTCTGGCAAAACTAACTGGCACCTTGAAACAGCGCGTTTGGAACACCAGTCTACCCGACGCATGAAGCCTGCGTACAGTGCATGGGGCTTGAACCCGAGGGATTGGTGATAGTCAGCCTCGCTGCAAGCTGAGGTTGCTCTGCAGATTGCGACAGCTCGTTTCTCTATCCTCATCCTAGCAACTCAGTTGAGCCTCATTTGTCCGGTTTGGCACTTCACTGACCTGGGCGGAGCGTTAGCTTTACTGATGTGTGTCGCAAGCTGTAGGAAGCTGAT